TGTTCTATGGACGACTGAGACACTGCAGGACTGTAAGGATAACTGGACTTATCCCTGGCTGTCATTCACATGATCACATCTATAGTGCAACGAACCGTGGGAAATCTCACTAATAATTCTGCAGAGTAAAAAACTCAACAGGCTTGATGAATGTTGAAAGGCTTAAGGTCTCTTGGGCAGAGCAACACAAAGTCTGTTAAGCCCAGACTCACAAGAAGAATAAATCTAGTGGAAAGCAAATTAAAGACAATTTTGCTTGTCAATATGTGACATTAATACAGAAACTGTTTAGGTATAAATTAATTCATCAATTAATTAATAATATTGACATTTTAAATGCAAAGCACCTTGTGGAACCGGGTGGTAAGTCACTCACTTATTTATGTTCAACAGGCTGAAGATTCTTCACTAGCAGAAGCAGAAGCTGTGTAGTCAGACCGATTTTATACACCATCCCGCAACATAATCGACAGCAAGTCAGCCATTTTTTGGAGGATCCCAACTATGTCACCACCCATTTAGCTAGGTAGTCTCAACCTGTCCAACACGGTCTTACTTGGTTAATGTTTCAACATGATTGGTTAACACTGTGTATGTGTAATGGGTTGTAACAGCCAAGCACACAAGCAAAATGAAAAATAGATTGTGGGATTATTTCCCAACATGGAAACTAAAAGTTGGAGGGAATCTGAATGTTATCTAGCAACAGCAAGCTTGCAAGCCTGACTTATAAGGCCTTAAGGGGGATAACGCTTTAGATTACAGCCTGCAGTGTAAGTACTTTGAAGTTACGGTATAACAATACAGTACGTACCAGTACATATACTGTATGTAGGTACTGGGGAACAAGATGTGAAGTTATGGAATAAGGGGGCAACAATTCAGGATTGTAGAGAGAATTTATACTGTAGTTTGTTTGCTTTTTAACCCACTGAGCCATAATCTGGACAGTTGTGAGAAATTATACTGTAGTTATTATTTAACTACTGGGTGCCTATTGTGTTATTACAGGGCATGTATGACCTACTGAGAAAAAAACTGGACCTGTCAGCAAAGATAGAGAGATGACTGCATCAATTAATAAATCTGATGTGGTTTTATTTCAAAAATACCTAATTACCAACAAACAAGCAAACTACATTGTCCCTTTTTAATTATTACTTTGAGCAACAATGGGGTACATCTGTGTGTTTACTTCAGGGGACCAGATTATTGCTCAGATTACACCGTAACTGAAGTAAGTACGCTGTACGTTGTGGGCTGTCATCTAAAGCGTTACCCTTATTGGTGTATTTACCATAGCTTTCCCCTGTGCTCTCTCTTTATAGCTGCAGTTAATTTAATAGCTGTTGCTTTTGTGTTTTTCTGCAGTTGTACCACCTTAATTAAGCAAAATGTGGAATTGTTTCATCAATTACTGTAAAGCATCAAAATGATTTCCCTATGAACCTAGTCATAAGGTAGACAAACTATGAGATAGATAATTAGATTTTATTATTGACATTAACACAAGTTACAGTTTAGTTAACGATATTTAAAGGCAAAAACAACAGAGGACTCATAAAGATAGTGAAAAAAAAAAAATATTCTTCCCAGTATTTGGCAAAAGTTGACTACCAGTTAACAAAATTTATTTTGGTGGTTTAAGATATAAAATGGGACACAAACAGCAGCTATAAAAACGAAACCACTACTGCCTCCATTACTTTCCCAAGTTAGACGAGAACAGAAGATCCAGAATTGCGAGTCCTGGTCCTGCAGAGGTGAAACTGGATGATACTGGTTGGGACTCTGCGCTTTGTACTGTATACATGATTGTTTCAAGCATAAAAATTAAAAATAATTCACCACCACAGAGCCTTCAGTAGGAAGCAGCTACCTCAGACCAATTCTTAATATACACATTTGTTACATCCACTAACTCAAAACAAAGGACTGATATGCAATCCTTCCACTAAATGAAGAAAGTGTTGATCAGTGCCTGAGGAGATCAGCCAGGCATGGTGTCACGTGGTTCAGATGCTGTATGGCAATAAAACATGACCTATATGTATTCTGCTTCCTGCTTTCATTTCATTCACATTTTAAATTCTTACAGAAGACAGAAATCTTTGTTTAACAGCATCTCATGGGAACACATACCCCATCGGCAGATATCAGACAGAGGAAAATATTTGAGTAGTATTTAGTTCTGAAGGAGCAGCCTTGAAGGATGTGACTGCTCTCTAGTTAACGTTAAAGGAACAAAAATCAGACCGGTGAGAAGAAAACTGAACATATTATAAACACGCACTGGTTTTTACATCCGTGTGGGTTTGTATGTCTGTTTATGAATAATGTACTGCTTGTATAACACATATAGTATTTATTATTAAAGGCTATTATTTTATATACGGTACTATACTGTACTATATGTATACATGTACTATATGTTACAGTATGTGCAGTATATAGCACATACATGTGTTTTATATATACATATTAGTATTATACATGTGTTTGATATAATGTACAGCTAATCTACACTGTAAAACCAGATCAATTCATTCAATATAGTTTACATCCAAATCTAACACAAACTAAATTTATAGGTTATTAGATTATTGATTAAGTTGCGTTTACAAGTAGGTTTAAGTAGCATTAACTTTTTAAGTCACAGTAATAGTCCTGATTAGTAACTTTTACTAGGTATTTTGTTTTCACAGTACAAATTACAAAAATTACTAAAGCTACTTAACCAAGAATGTTTTTTTAACTTACAAAATGTAGGTAGTTTTACTTTTTCATTTTGATATAATTGGTTTCAGCTATTTGTTTTTGTTAAATTAACTTATCTGGTTTTACAGTGTATCTTTACTTCCATGATTACTTATTTGACAAAATAGATCTTTTGTTTATTTATTTACTGCATTGCAGACATTTATTACGTCTTCTCCTTTATAAAAATATATCTATTTGGCCAGAGGGGTTGAGGTCAGGGTTTAGTGTGGTGTGGTGTGGTGTGGATAGGCATCGGATGTGGGTGGATAAGAGGACTGTATATTTCATGTATTATTGATCCTTTGTACTCCTGCTGTTGAACTGTCTTGAGAGAAAATTAATAAAAACAAATTTTTAAAAAAGAAAAGAAAAGAGCACATTTCACAATAAGAAAAAACCTACATGTTTTTTTTATGGGAATACATTCAAGATCACTTATTTGTAAAGCCAAATACTTACAGCAAACTGCTGTTGACACTCTGTTCATACATCAACGCGCTCAGTCAGCCACAAAACAGAATAGATTATCAAGTGATGAAAATTAAACAATGCTTTAGATAAGACTACACCCTCAAGAGAGAAGGAACTTTTCTCATTGCACAAAAATCTGACTTCACCACCATCTATCACAGATCTACAAACCACCATGGAGTCAGGCTTCATTTATGAGTTTTCTGGCACTTCAACAGTCTTTAAAGTGAACTACTTGAAAAACAACGAGGTACCAGTGTAATGCAATACAACATCTAGTGTATCTACTGTTAAAGTAAGGAGGTCAGATGCATTAACACGGTTTGTCCTCTTGTAGCAGAATACAATAAGAAAGAAAGCAGCAGCATCAGCATCTGGTGTGGACTTGCAGATCTAGGATACAATCTGGTGAATAAACTTCATAAACTTAACTCATAAGGGGGACTGGAGTGTGTATGCAGCAGTGATATCACTGATCTGCATCCTTGAAATAATATTAAACGGTCTTAATTTGAATGATGAACTGCTGCGCGGATGAATGGAAGCAGATTGTCGCTGCCTACAGTACATGTTGCTTCCTGTGCAGATAAAAACACAAGGCCAGTTACATTTATTGAACAGATAAAGCTCATGGTAGCAGCTGCTTTAAATCAAATCAAAAAGGAGGAATCTCAGTTGCAGTAACTGTCCTTCCAGCCATGAAGCTGCATGCTTTATGTAAACAGGTACGACACTAAATTCATGAATTTTCAAGGGTGGCTAGGTTTACAAATGATCATTCGCTGTGGTTCCCTGTGGCCATAAACTGTAACATAAAGGCCATAAGAGCACTGGAGCTTGTGTGCATTCAGTCATTCGTTCATTGTCATGGAAACAGCTCCATTTTGTGCATCCTGCTTGTTTCATCTTGCATGGTAAAAGAAAATGTCAATAACCTCTGAAGTTGATGGATTCATTTCGGTGAAGAGTTGTTCTCTTTGATTTTAACATCTTAAGGCAGAGCTGTAATATCAGGTGATGAAATGGATTTAAATAGCTTCAAGCTGCTCTACAAAAGCCCCTAATGGCAAGAATATAATACAAATGCTCTTGCTGTTCCACCTGCTTTGTCTTTTATTTCATTTTCTGCATTTCATTGTTACCTTACAAGATTAATAGAGGAAGTTATGGCAGAAGAGTGTCAGTGTCTGAATACAGTCACTATTTGTCTCCCTCTGTTGGTTGACTCATCAATCATATGATAAATTAAAGCATTTTCTAATCAAAGAAAACTGTAAAAACAACAATCCAGTGTAACTGGAACCAGTGCACAGTTGTTTGACCTTTACTCGGAGTTCAGTGCTGGAAGAACTCAGATCTTTTGTATAAATCTGAAGACATATTCTATATATGTATATATATATACATATATAGCAAGTAAAAATTCTGCATACATGAAGTACAGAAGTATTATAAGCAAAAT